GCTCTGGGCTCTGGTTTCCCCTGTGATCACAGGCATTTGAGCTGGGAGAATTTGATTCGGGCCTGCCCTCAGGCTTATTTTTTTTCCCAAATGATTCAGGCAACTTAAAGCTGACCTGCTGTTCATGGGAAAGAGGTGAGCTGTCCTTGGTGACGCTGTAACAAAACAAAGTGGTGGGGCATAAACAAAGTGGTGGCCGGGTTATGCACAGGCTGCTGCCCCAGCCTTGGGCAGGGGCTCAGTCCTGCTGCCTGCCACTGGAGCATGTACCAGAATTTGAAGTACTTGCTCACATCTTGCATTGCAAATAGTATGGTTTTGTTGTTCTGTTTTTTTGGTTTTTTGGGGGAGGGGGATTGTTGTGGGTTTTAATAAACAGCTCTAGTTCTTTACTTCAGTTTTTTCAATTTAGTACTGAGAGTTTTGACAGTTTTTCAAAGCCAAAGAGGAACCTTCTCCCCACTTCCTTTGTTGCCTCAAAAAGGTAACATCCAATTTTTTCCTCTCTTTGTGGGAAAATTATAAGCCATTATTGCTGCCTTTCAGGTGGATTCATTTTAATGACTCTCATACATAATAAACATCTGCAGATGACTGCTCAAATCTAGGACAGAAAATTTATGTGTTGATCCAGAATAGCTTGGAAAGGCAGCACCTACTTCCTCCTCCCCATCCACACCATTCTCTTCTTCCCTATGATCAGGGTTGTGACTATCTCTCACACCTCTTGAAAGTGAGACTCTTTGAATTTGTAATCCCCAGACTGGCTGGGGGAACTAAGTGGGAAAGCAGCTTTCTGCTACCATTTCCTGAAAGTTAGTGCTGGGGCTTGTTTGCATCCAGCACTACAGAACTGCTGTTCAAATGCCAGAAACTGTGCAGGTTCCTACATTGTAAGGTACTCACTGGTAAGAAAAGTCCTTCCTCAATGTTTAATTAAATGGGTCGAAAGCAGGATGGAAGAAGTGGATGGCATCTTCCTTTGAACTCTTACAGTTGTGAGGTACTGGATAAACTCACTGTTTTACCATCTTTAATTTCTCTGGCTTCTGCTCAGGACAGCAGCAATATAGGTTGCTACCAGCAACCTCAGAGAAGTTGACCCTGCCTGCTGTGGGTCTGCCTGTCTGAAATACATTTACATCAGTATTTGATGCTTCAGTCCCATTTTGCCATTTGCTTGGTCGCAAGTTGAAGTGGCGAGGGAATGTGTTTCTCCCTGCAGCTGGTGATGGCAGAACCACACATATCCTGCACTCCTCTTACAGACGGCTCCAGCACATGTGGTTGTCAGCTGACACTCAAATGAGAGCGACAGAACTTAGCTGCACAAAGATCACACCTCACTTATCCCCAAGTGGATCTGCAAAACACCTGCAGCAAAAGCTTCACAGAGGGGCTGTCTGTGCCCCTCTTATTAGGCCTATAGTGCAGAAAGCCCAGCAACCTACCTGGGCAGCGTGGAAATTGCCAGCACATCCTTGTGTTGAAAGGCTCAGGATGAAGATGTACCTGAAGAGGGTGTTAGCTGGCTGGGAGTTCTTCACCAGGTCAATGAGCTCATCCAGCTTGTGCAGAGCACTCCTGCTGACATGAAGGATGGGATAGGTGAAGAAACGACCATCCTTTCCAGTACACTGGCTGAAGTCCATTGTGGAGTTTCAGGCATGTCTGCACATGCCTTTGGGAACACTCAATGTGTCCAATCTGAAAACTGAGGCACCAAGATAGTGTCAGTGACCAGCTGGTGAGTTGATGCCATTGTCACCTGGACAGCAGTTAGTTATTAGAAATGCCAGAGAGATGCTCAAGTTCTTTTGAGGATCAGAGTTTCTGTGCATAATGTAATTATCTGAATGTCTGAAGTACAGCTTCTTTTCTCCCTTTAATAAAAGTGGGAATTTAAATGCTAAACTTCTGTTAAGGCACATTAAGCTTTAAGATTTGAATACAACAATCAGTGCATTCAGGCTCTGCTTTCCACAGCTTTTCTCGCTTAGCCAGATGACATATGCATGCTGTTTTAGGACTGAGCTCTGCCCTCATTTACACCAGGAACCCTCATTAAATTCAGCTGAATTCATTGAATTTAACAGGATTGCCTAGTGTAATTAATGTTTTGAGGACAAAGTTTGTCCTTAGCTTTAATGTTTTAACATCATATTGAGCATTCAGATGTGTAACAGGCAGAATTTAGGGAAGTCGAACACTTGACTTGTATGTATGTTACATCCAAACCATAAAGTGACATTGAGTTTTGCCTGCATTTCATAAACAGTTAACAATTTGCATACATCCAGCAGTGATAGTATGCCTTTGCATTTAAATTTTAATTATTCTGAAAGTCTACCAGGATGTCACTTGTTTAATGGCTCGCTGAGCTTAGAGGTCACCCAGTCCAAGTCTCTCCTCTAATGGCATTTTTATCTGAGTAAAAGCTTATACTAATAAGAACACAGCAAACATGCTGAAGTGAGAGCTACGCAGTAATACACATGAATTAGAATGTAGAGAAATTTGAAGAACAGGGAACTTTCAGAGTGTTTCTTTTATAATGGTTATTTGACTCTGACTAGGATAATAAATTTTTATTCTTTGCTGATGAGAATACAGACTGTCATTTACATGTGCAGTATCAGGCACTACAGAACCAAAAAGGAAGCTTTTAACTTCAGTTTTAAAGAGGCAAGCGGCTTCAGCATGCTGAATGATGATGGATCATGCTACCTTCACTTAGCATTGGAACAGACAAGTGACACTTTTTGGAAGTGCAGGCAACAGTACAATACGACATGACACTTCAGCTAAATGTGTGTGAATCTCTTTTGTATTATTTTACATATTACTTAAAAAAAATTAATGGGAATTACAGATAGCTTGGGTTGGAAAACGCTTTTGAAGCTCATCTAGTTCAACCCTCTCCAAGGGCACAGACACCTTCCACTAGAACAGGCTGCATAAAACCCATCCAGTCTTTGTCTTGAATGCATCCAAGGATGGGGTGTCTCTCTGGGCAAACTATTCCAGTGCCACACTAAGAGGAATAGTATTTTCCTTATGTCCAAGCTAAACTTATCCTTTTAATTTAAAACTGTTGCCCCTTGTCCTATCACTACATGTTCTGGTAAATGTTCAGTGCTCCCGGCATCTTTGAGAATAATGGTGGTCACATACCAGGAGTTCTTTTTATCTCCAAAGAAACCCCATGACCAAGAAAACAGACTTATGCTGGAGAAAATATACTACTAGAATTAAAAAAAAAGAGTACAGGGAGTAACATACCTGATCAGATTAACAGCTGTAACAAAATGAAAATGACAGTGATTTCAACTCAGTTTTCAATGTAAACTGAGAATCTGTCTAATTATTGTTAAACCTTGTCTAAAATCCTATCAGCAATTAAACAAATGTAAAACCTCATAAAGAATAATAACAATATAACTAATTTTAATTTACTATTTTAATACTCACTGAAGTTATGTAAATAGTGTTTAAGCTCAGCTGAAGCAGGTGGTGCTGAATATTTCATTTTTGAGTTTGGTAGTGGTACCTTAGGACAAGTCTGCCCATTGCTGCACAAGTTTAATTCAGATCCAGCTGTTCAACCTAGAGGCCAAGTCAGAAACAGAAATACCAACTGTTTTAATTTTTTTTCAGTGGAATGGTACACAACTAGCTGTTCAGTGTACAAGTATGCCTGTCAAACAGAAATATACTGTAAAAATGGAGCAAATTCTGTTTCTGTATAAGCTGTAGGCTTATGCCTTTTCAGGTGACCAGCAACTTTGAAGCAACCTTATGTCACTGCACGTCTAGACTGCAGAAGCTTTCAAACAAGCTGATTTTTGAGGACAACTGTTTGGCCCATGTACAGTATCTCCAGATGGGCAAGCATAAAAATGAGTTATTGGTTACTTAAAAATACAGGTTGGGGTATTAAAAGGGAGTGAGAATTAATTGATGGATATGGTATTAAAAAATGTAACACATTTACAGAACTGTCCCATGGCAGTGATTTATGACAAGGAACTAGTCCAATTGCTAAGCATTAAATCTCAAACAATAAAACACCCCTAGGAACAGATGCATATATTGTATTCATGTATGAGTGGGAGTATCTGCATTGAATCTTTACAATACAGATGAAGGGAGAAATGTGGGCAGAGTGTGAAATACACTGGTATCACAGTGGTACTCTGATTCCAAAAATCTGTGTTCTGAGGGATGCCAATATCAGTGTATGCTGATACTGCTGCATCACTGATAACTGCCTTGTGTCCTGAACCCCATTTGCTTCCACTCTGTGTGGCCTAACCCTTAGATACCTCTGCCTCAGGCTCTGCATCATTTTCCCTCGGAAATACTTCATGTTCAGTGTTTTTGCTTCATAATGGGAGAGGAACTGAGCTGAAATCCGCTGTGTTTCCACTCCAACTGGCACTGCTCCTTTCTCTACCCAGCAGAATGCCAGAGTGGAGGAGCTTTGCAGATTCCACGTGTTTTAATCTGAACGATTTAACAGTAACACAAAAACAAGGAAGTACAGGGAGATCATTTAATACATTCCCTCATACTGTGGGAAATTGATACTGTGCAGGACTCCGTGACTCCCTCACATGCTCTTGGACATATCCCTGTGTTACTGGGACTTGGACAAGATGGCCTCCAGCACTTCCTCCCAACCTCAGCCATGCTGTGACTCTGAATCATGGTTATCAAGCAGCCTTCTCTGACAGCTACAAACACACAAAGGTGTAAGATTCAAGAGTGATGGGGACAAAACGAAGCACACACAGTAGAAGCAAATGAAGAGAAGTTCATTCAGAATTTCTGTAATACATGTACTGATATTGTGTCAATAACTCCTAGCTGATGAAATAAGCTCATGTGGCTTGCTCACTGACTACTGAAAAATCATCAAGACAATATAAGGTTAAATTCAGTTTTTCTCATAAAAGAATCTGAGTAGTTGATTGTATATATATGTGATGGTACACTGTAATGAGGAGTAACTGGACAGTAACAGACCTGTAGGGATGAAGCTGGCTCTAAGTCAGCACAGTTTTTGCAATGACAGGCCTGTTAGAGATGAGGGGTTCTGTAGTAATGCCACTGAATATTCATAATTGAATAGATTTTATTTCACATTTACACATTGGTGAGAGTATATACAATTTAAAAAATCAGCCTTGCTGGAAAAAATAGTTGGAAATGATCTATCCTAACTTGAGACACTGAGTATTAAAGCTATCGCCCTCTTTGATAGCTACAGCCTCCAGAAGTGCCTGCTTCTTCTGCATACTGCGAGATGACTCCAGTTCATACATAGTAGTCAGGTTGAAGAGGACACTCTCGTGTAGGTAGTGCTGAGGGTCCTGCTGAACCATTCCTTCCAACTGCCGCAGGGAATCCTTCAGTTTCCCCAGGTAAAGAAGACAAACAGCAGCATTGTTGTTAGCCTGGTGAAAAACATATTGTAAATAAATAGTGTGTTTATAAATATATATATATGTATTTACAAGTGATGAAAGAGAAGGAAAAGAAGCCTAGCATCTGCAGTTACAACATATTTACTGTATGCTAAGAACTGCTATTCTGCATGCGTGTGCAAACTAAAATATATTATTAATTATACAATGCTATCCTTTTCTTCTTACAATTCTCAAACTTCACCCTCTGCCAGTACAACTTGCTGACTTCTAAGAGCTCAAACTCTAAAAGATGGAGTCTAAAATGAAATATAAATAGTATAGGACATTAGTCAGTTAATTCTGAAAGCCAAGTGAAACAAATTTCAGAAACCACATGAGTCTCTACATGCAGTCATTTTCATAGATTTTTTTAAAAAATTACTTCACTATATTTTCAGAAGTGTTTTTCTCTCTCTCTGGCTCATGTGTCCACATAATCAACAGGAAGATTCTTTCTTATCCCAAAGGCATCTACAACTGGCTTCACACAAATCTAGCAGATAGGGCAGTCTAAATACATCATAAATGATCAAGTCAGGTTCCATCTTCCTTACCACACAACACAGGTTTTATGAGTTAATGAAAGATACTGTACAGAAACAGTACAAAGTGATATAACATGTTTAGCACCAGAAACTTTCATATTTTCTGAAAGCTGCAGATAAAGGAAGAATATGGCCTTTTAGAAAAAAATATTTTTTGTCCATTCAGGAAACCTTACTGATCTTGTGTGATTTACAATACACAGTATTTTACAGCCTGCAAAATAATGCAATTCATGTGTTCCTTAAACTCAGTCCAGTCTGCAAGTGGCCTTGGAGCAGATTACTGGGGGTAAGCTGTCTGACTTCTCAGGAACACTCTTACATGACCGTGCATTGGAAACTGCCAGGTGTAGGAAACCAAAGGTAAATAAACAGCTCTTTGATCTCAGCTTGTGACAGGAACCCAAGGCTCTGATATGCAATGTGTTAAAAATTTCATGTTTAGAATTACAATATCCTTTCAATGTTGTGTGAAATCAAGTTAATTTTATACACGTTGGCAGCTACTGTTTCTTTTTCTGACATGCAAGTCTATGCTAAAAACAGTGAGTGTAAAAAAAAGTGCTTTTGCAAAGATCCCGTTAAAGAAGAGTGTCTCAGAATTTCTACATGCATGCCTAAGTATTCACGCCCTTCACACAGACTGGTTCTTAATTTCCCATCCCATTTCCCTTATGTATACTGAAAACCTTTTGGCACATATGCCACATCCCATTTTTCTGTAAAGCTCTGAGCATACTCTGGATATTAATTAAATCCATGCATGAAGTATTATGAGAATAATTTAGGTGTTCATTATATATGTAGCAATTTGAAGATTTACCACAGCATTTGATGAGTCGATCCTTAAAATTTCTGTGAAAAATCGATGAGCTTCTGCAAAATTATTCTGACCAAGGTGGAGAAATGCTCTAGAAAGTAAGTGACATATAAATGAGTTCTCCTCAAAAACCCAAGGTAATAATACATTTAAAAAAGAATGGACGCCATTTTTTATTTTTCCTATTACAGATGTGAGAGTTTCTGACATTTGTTCTTCACAGTGTGAAGGAGACGCTGATTTACAGACAAATGGAATGACAACTTGGATCACTCAGCTATTATATTTTCTGCCTACAAAAGCAACAGTCTTCATTGTGTTTTTATTAATTCAAATGCAGATACTCTCTTCCCAGAATTATTTCTCTTCATGAAATCAGCCATAAAATTTTCAGAGCACTTTTGAATAGTATCTTCTAAACATATTAAGCCAATGTGCTAACCATTGCGAAGTGTGTTCCCCATCACACAGCTCGATTTACTACAGTGTGTTCAAGCATCCTTTGAAGCTACTGGGTGGTACTTTCCTGGCAGATCTGATTGTAGGATAACTGCCCAAAATAACTTCTCCTCTCCTAAGAGTTATTTATGTAAATGTATATTGAAAAAACACAGTGAAAATATGCAGTGCCTGAAAGAATGAGAAAAAGCTTTGTAAAATCAACTGAAAGGTCACAGTTTCAATGCAGGATAATACAACTGTACCAAGTTATAGAGATCTCCTGAGTCTGTATGCCATTCAGTCTCACTTATGACAGATGAAGTCCCATAAAAGAGAGAAAGTGAACAGGATTGTCTCAAAGGTAGTTTAACAATCACCTTGCATACTTTTAGAACTACATTTTAAGAAGTTTTATTTAGCTATTAAGTTATCTACCTGTTCATTAAAACCATAATTTGGCTCTGTAGTCCATCCAATTTGTGAGCTGCTTTCTCAACGTCTTGAAAATATTTTTCTGCAGTTTTTATGTCTCCAATCTAGACAGAAAAATCGTAAATAAGTAACCACAATAAGAAGAAAAGAGCTACATCATGATTATATCTTATAAGGACACAAAAACATATATAACGTATCAAAGTCCATTATCAATCTCTTTACACCAAGGTGACTAGGTAATACCTGTTACCAAACAATGCATTTGAAGAGCCACATAAAGGTAATAAAAAGCACCCTAAAAGCATGTTCAGTTTGCCCAAGGCAGTTTTCTCAGCTGGCGACTGTGGAGCTCTCAAGGACTGTAGGGCAGGGAGGCCCCATATCCTCATTTAGCTCCTTCGTTGTAACAGTTCAAAAAAGTAGCTGAAAATGAGAAAAGGTCAGAGTTACTTCCAATGAGATGGGGTATTAGTCCACGGGAAGGGAAGACAGACACCAGTGGCCTTCTAGGTAGCACAGGACTCACACCTGGTCAACCCACAGCCTCTGGGTCATAGCCAGGGGCCACCAGGCAACTTCAGTGCATCACACCACGTGTCAGAAAACAACTCCACTACAATGGGCCACCGAGGATATTGGGAAGGTGGTCCATTTGCATTTACCAAAGAGTGAGTTGAGCAGGATGAAGGAATGAGAGATTTGAAAACTGGCATAAAGAAGTATAGATTTGATGGGGAGTGGAATGGGGAAGGGGATTCCTGAAACAGAAGGGGTATTTCACCTAAAGGTGTGTCACATATATTGCTCTTTGAGATGAAAAAAATACTTGAAGAAGGCCACTTATTTGGAAAATAAGTTAGCAGCATATTTTTCAGGCTGGAGATATGGAAGAAGATGAAAACTTACTACTGGGCAAAATAAATCTATCGGAATATATCAAAAAGAGTAAAATTAAACTAGTTCAGAAACATAAAGCCATGGAAACCAGGCAGTCTTCAGGTGGGGGGCCCATTTGTTTAGGAACATTATGAAAAATGTTTGTGACAAATGTGTTGAAGTCTCCTTAATGCTCTCAGATGGTGGATATTACACATCTGAGTTTTACTAGGAAACTTAATCCAGAATTCTTAAATTGCTCTAGCATTAGAAAATACCTTCTATCTTACTGCACTTTTTACTTCAGCTTTTTGTCCTGGCCATAGTGGTGGGGGAGGGTTGTTTTTTTACAGTCTTTTGCGTACTTGAAAATTTTTTTCTTCCCGTTCTAGAATGAGAATCAATTTTCAGATGAAGCAGTATTTACCCCTTTCTCATAGATAATACTGAAACATTATGTTTCACACGTGAATATGAATTTTGCTTTTAAGCCAAGTATCTGAAAGTCCAGTTTGTTTACCCTTGTGTAGTTTTCTACTCTCAGTTGTTGCTTCTTATTTTGTATTTGTACATTACTCGCAGTCTTTGGTAGCATTTTGCCTTTGCTGTTTGAATCAAAGCCAATTTAACATTTCAGCTTCTCAACTTGTCAAGATTATTTTGCATTCTGATCTCGCCCTTCATAGTGTCTGTACCACTCCCAGCTTTGAATCATCTGTACCTTTTACAAGCATGCTTCACATTTCATCATACAAATACTACCTAAACAAAAAATACAAACCCTACAAATCCTAAAGAGATCCTTGTGGAGAAGATCATCTAGCACTGACTTCTAGTCATCCTCAAATGACTTTCCAACTGTACTTTTCAGAGACAGCAAACATCCATCCATCTGAAGGCTTCATCTACATTTCTTCCCAATTTGCTTATGGGAATATCACAGTGGCAGTACCCAAAGCCCTACTAACACCACTAATATAACAGATACTGCTTCACCTCTAGCCATGAGACTTATCCCTTGTCAACATAAGGAAATTATTCTTCTTTACATTTAGGAGATGATCCAGTTGAAGACTGCAGTCAAAGATGCTACTGTTCACCTACCAAGCATTTCTGGAATACCCATTAATAATCTTTTTCTAACAAAACAGATGCATTTCGCCCAGATGTAACTGGACTCAAAACAAAATGAGTATTATTCATTCTAAAATAACAAACATTCAGTTATAATGACAAAGGATACAACTTCTCTCTATAAGTCCCATTAAAGATGTCAGCCACCAAGAAAATAATTACATTCAACTAGAGGATAATGCTGGCAAAGTGTAAATGAATCTGTCCTCGAGTATTTTTAGCCTGGGAATCCCTTAACCATGAGAACAATCAATTTCTAAACCAGTTTGCTCTCCTGGGAGCTTGATGAGTCCAAATCTACTTTGCTTTGATACTAATCAGACATTATTTGTGATCATGAATAGTTCTGATTTCTTAGCATCTTCTCAGCAAACATGCCACACTCTTAAAATCTCATTTTCCCACAGAGGGGAAAGTTTAGTTTTTAAAATTTTTTGGTGGGAAAGATAATTTAAAAGAAATAACTAGTTTTAATTAGTAATTAAAGGAATTTAACCAATTTAAGTGATCTTTATCACTTATTAACTTATTTATCACTTTATCACTTATTTAACTGAGTTCAGAAAGTATGACTTCAGTATCTAATAACAATTAAAATTTTCAAATGAAAATGGAGATTCTACTGTTAACCTCATATAATCATATTCTCAACAAGGAACCTCCAATATACTATGTGCTTAACTTTGCTGTTTGTCTGGAAACCAAGATTATTTTTCTTCTAGAAATTTTTTATTGCTTTTTACTCAGTTTTGCAGCAATTTATTGCAGAGGTTAAGGTCAGGCAGCTTTTAAATTTTTTCTTAATGTACTTATTCAAATGGAAATTTTGCATATGTTGGATAGTGAGAGCTACACAATATAATCCTAGAGACTAAAATGTATTCAGTTTCTCTATTTCATGCGAATTTCTGTTTTACAGTCAAGTGAGTGCTGACAGAATTACAGTCCTTATGAAAATTTCTTTGTGATAGCCTCTGTCTTTTCCTCCATTCTGCACTTCTACAATTCTCATTTCCCACTTTTTAAGGCAAGAGCCAAAGGCTGGGCATCAGATCTAGACCTCCTTATGTTCCACTTACATGTGAAGATAAAGAGGACATGATGCCTTGGACTAGTTAGCTCAATTTAATTAAGAAAAAATAAATCAAAGCAGAATAAATAAATAAAAAAAAGTTTTACATGTTGAAATAGGTTGCAACTTTTTTCTGTTAAACTCCTGAATTACACTTTATTCTACTTTATTGCTTTGTTTTATAAAGCAGTATCAAAACATAAAACAATATCAAACAGTGGGTGTGACTTGTAAGCAACTGGAATCTGGCTGCCTTATGCCTCTCTTGGTAAATGTTCAAAGTTAGCAGCACAGTCTGAGTTATTTGGGAATTACTACTTGTTTTTGAGAAGTTTTGACATTTGAATAAGAGAAATTTGTTTTTCTATATTACCTGCAAGACATTTTGTTTTTTTTCCAGAGAATGCCTTGTCAAGAGTGTACAAGTAGCACAGAGTGATCTTACCAAAATTATGATGCCCAGGACTGCAACACATATATCTTTCTTTAATTCAAATGGCTTGGTTTTGATTACCTGGACACTGCCTATTTCTTGTAATATATCAAAATCTTGCTTCTGTTGCACCAGACAGAGCTAAAAATTTTGTCACAGAAAAAGACAAACCAAGCAATAAAACCTTATCTCCTTAACGTGCTAGAAGAAAGGATGTGCATTTAGAAATTATTCTTTTTAACTTCTATCTAGGTCACATGAAAATATCAGGGACTCCTCATAACCCTTTTTGTAATGTCCAGATCTGACAGTAAAACCCCTTGGAACTGGAGTCTTGTTGTCACAGCCAGCATTGTGGAGGTCAGTGCTTTCAAATGATTCTGTAAGTTAGGAGATGCTTTCCTCACAGGAGTGAAAATTTCTTCATAGCAAATGGAATAACAAACAGACTTTGGGTGTGACATCACAGCAGACACTCTTGTCAGAAAGGCAGTGCCAGTAACATACCCAGTCATTTTCCCAGTAAGACCAGAAGTATTAATAACTTGTACTTCCTTTAGAATTTTGCATACTTACAGTACCCTTCTTTTAATATGCATAATTATTATGTTCCCTATTTAGGTAATAATTAATGCACGCAGCCAATATCATAAAATTGCTCCATAGTGATGGAGATCCACTTTAAACTAGAGACTATTAAAGACAGACATGTCTAACACATTGTGAAACTATGCTCCTGCTGAGAACTGAAATTCCATAATTGAATTTGAATGACATTCTATGATTTCAGGCAAGCAATGTTAATAATTATCTACTAAGAGTAAATTTCAATATAATTTTATGACAGGAATGTCACAAATAAGATCATTTGTAAATACCTGACAATCCAAAATTAGGTTTATCATTAATAATAAAAGTAGATAAAAGAGGAAAAGTTTGTATTATTAGTATCAGAAATATGAAAGGACTGCAAAGAACTTGTGAAATACTAAAAATTTTAAAAATCAGATAGCTAATTAGCATCATTTAATGAAAAATAAAAAGACATCTATTTTTATTTGTAATTAAATAGTTACATGGAAATAAATTATACTTTCCTGTATACTGCTTTTTTCTTTTAAGGTGCCCTCCCCTGTTTACTCAGGGATATGATCTGGACAAAAGAAGGACACTCTTGAATTTTTTCTAGATGAAGATGGCAGTTATACAGTGTGACTGAGAGTTGCATACAGTTCCAGGCAGTGAGATGTGATTTTTAGTGATATTCTGTCTCACTGATGTCAATGGGAGCTTTACCCTTAGTTTTAGGGAAAGCAGAATGTCACTTTTTGAATAAAATACTATCATAACTTTCTACAGCATGTTGTTTGCTAATGCACTTTTAATACTATAGGTGCCTCACGTTTCCTAATTGTACCTAAAATGACATAGTAGAAGGGTTTTTGTTTTGAGTATTGCCTCTACCATTTGACACGTGCCCTACATAAACAGGTGTAGTTTTAAATGCAACGATTATTCTCTATGTTGCTATTAACAGCAGTATCACCTAGCAAATTTAGAATAAAATGCATACCTGAAGGAAAATCCTTCCAATTCCACTCAGCAACTGAGGCTCTTGCTGTGGGTAATATTTGATGACAGAGTGGTAAGCATCTACAGCCAGCACGTAGTCCTAAGGGTGAAAAGCAAACAATTAGGTATTTAAGCTCAGAATGCTTCAGCCTTTGTGTCACCTTCTTTGTAAAGACATAGTCCAACAGAAGTAAAGTATTTGCACCTTGTCAGTGGGACAGAATTTCTATCAATCACTGTAGGCACTAGCAGCTGACTACATTGGTCTCAGTTATGCTGGAACTGCATACATAGGGGATCTTTTTATTTT